GGGAGAACAACAACTACTACTACTACTACTACTACAACAACAACGCCTACATCAACGGGTGAGCAGACCCTGACCCATGAACAGACACCACCGACTCAGTCCAACTACACTACCCAACAGACACACTCTTTCTTTCTTTCTTTCTGTATTTATTTATTGTGTTTATTACAGATTCAGTACATGACAAAACAATAGTGTTATCGTATCTATCCCAGAGTACAATGGAAAATGTCAGTCCTTGATATTCTCTGACGCTACCTGCTCTCTCGGTCTGAATGTGCCTTATCAAAACACAACCAACGTGAAAAGCTTCCTCTGTTTTAGGTTCCAGCTGAGATACAGCAACACCTGGTCTCCTGTGTTCGGTCGCGAAGTGGGTGAAAAGCAGGAGATGGAGCTGTTTAAGGATGAGGCCATCGTCGAGGTGTCTGGGAAGTACAACCCAGCAGACTACATCTGCTACCTGGTGATCACCACCAACACAGGGCGCACTCTGGCGGCCGGCCTGCCTAACCAAGTCTCCTTCAACTTCTACCCAGCCAACAAGGGCAATGAGCTGAGGATGCTCAGCGGTCGCTTCAACGGTGCCGGGATCACTTCCATCGGAGCCCACTGGGGATTGGTGTACACGGAAGAGGCTGGAAACAGTACCTCCTCTTAATCGAAAAAAAAATTAAGTATGTCTTGCTCTTTGGGATGGTTTCCCGGATACAGATTTAATATCACTATCTGATGGGTGCTTCATGCGATTTTAAACTGAATTAATTTGAATATTTAGATTTTTTTTGGAGTAATTTTGTACTGCTTCAAGTGAGGTGATCCCGTTTGAGTGAGTGGGTCACGGACCACATGCGTTGTTACTCATCATTTGAGGTTGTATTTATCACAATAAATGAAATAATCATATGGGATTTAAAGGATTCATTATATATTTGATTAATTGAACAATAAAATATTATCGGGAGATAATTGCATCTCAGGGTACTTCACCTTCACTATTTTATACACACTGTATTTTTTTTGTGTGTTCCTTTTCTGCTACATCTGCATACTGAGATTTAATAAAAAGCATATCTTTAATCATTATATTTCATTGTATTTCTTTTGATAAGAAAATACATACAGTAGTGACCAGAAGCTACAATATACTAATCTGTCATCTTAACAAACTAAAACTTAACAAACTCAATAAGAACCTAAATGTATACAGTGGGGGAAAAAAGTATTTAGTCAGCCACTAATTGTGCAAGTTCTCCCACTTAAAAAGATGAGAGAGGCCTGTAATTTTCATCATAGGTACACGTCAACTATGACAGACAAATTGAGATTTTTTTTCTCCAGAAAATCACATTGTAGGATTTTTAATGAATTTATTTGCAAATTATGGTGGAAAATAAGTATTTGGTCAATAACAAAAGTTTCTCAATACTTTGTTATATACGCTTTGTTGGCAATGACACAGGTCAAACGTTTTCTGTAAGTCTTCACAAGGTTTTCACACACTGTTGCTGGTATTTTGGCCCATTCCTCCATGCAGATTTCCTCTAGAGCAGTGATGTTTTGGGGCTGTCGCTGGGCAACACGGACTTTCAACTCCCTCCAAAGATTTTCTATGGGGTTGAGATCTGGAGACTGGCTAGGCCACTCCAGGACCTTGAAATGCTTCTTACGAAGCCACTCCTTCGTTGCCCGGGCGGTGTGTTTGGGATCATTGTCATGCTGAAAGACCCAGCCACGTTTCATCTTCAATTCCCTTGCTGATGGAAGGAGGTTTTCACTCAAAATCTCACGATACATGGCCCCATTCATTCTTTCCTTTACACGGATCAGTCGTCCTGGTCCCTTTGCAGAAAAACAGCCCCAAAGCATGATGTTTCCACCCCCATGCTTCACAGTAGGTATGGTGTTCTTTGGATGCAACTCAGCATTCTTTGTCCTCCAAACACGACGAGTTGAGTTTTTACCAAAAAGTTATATTTTGGTTTCATCTGACCATATGACATTCTCCAATCCTCTTCTGGATCATCCAAATGCACTCTAGCAAACTTCAGACGGGCCTGGACATGTACTGGCTTAAGCAGGGGGACACGTCTTGCACTGCAGGATTTGATTCCCTGGCGGCGTAGTGTGTTACTGATGGTAGGCTTTGTTACTTTGGTCCCAGCTCTCTGCAGGTTATTCACTAGGTCCCTCCGTGTGGTTCTGGGATTTTTGCTCACCGTTCTTGTGATCATTTTGACCCCACGGGGTGAGATCTTGCGTGGAGCCCCAGATCGAGGGAGATTATCAGTGGTCTTGTATGTCTTCCATTTCCTAATAATTGCAGATTCAGTCTTCCCAGCCTGGTGCAGGTCTACAATTTTGTTTCTGGTGTCCTTTGACAGCTCTTTGGTCTTGGCCATAGTGGAGTTTGGAGTGTGACTGTTTGAGGTTGTGGACAGGTGTCTTTTATACTGATAACAAGTTCAAACAGGTGCCATTGATACAGGTAACGAGTGGAGGACAGAGGAGCCTCTTAAAGAAGAAGTTACAGGTCTGTGAGAGCCAGAAATCTTGCTTGTTTGTAGGTGACCAAATACTTATTTTCCACCATAATTTGCAAATAAATTCATTAAAAATCCTACAATGTGATTTTCTGGAAAGAAAATTCTCAAATTGTCTGTCATAGTTGACGTGTACCTATGATGAAAATTACAGGCCTCTCTCATCTTTTTAAGTGGGAGAACTTGCACAATTGGTGGCTGACTAAATACTTTGACCCCCACTGTAACTGCGTTAAAACGCCTATCCAATAGTGATGAAGGGGGGAAGAAATCGATTGTTACATATCAGGATATTATTTTCAACGATATCGTATTGCATTGCATTGACAATATCGCACTACTATTTTTGCACTAGTTGGCTGTCCCTGCACCAAACCTCTATTTTTCCTTCATAGACTGTTCTCCATTTTCATTTTAAATAGGAAGCACATTTGTTTTCAGCAGTTTTATTTCCATTACTTTTCTCATGCTCTCTCGTCTCTCTGCCACAGACATATAGTGAGCAATATGTTTGGAACATCGAATCACAATAAAATCACAGTATAGAATCGCAATACATGTAGAATCGTGAGAATCGTAATACATATCATACCAGCTCCTAAGTATTGTGATAATATTGTATCGTGAGGTCCCTGGCAATTCCAAGCGCTACTATCCAACACACCCATAATGTCTGGAATGTATATCTGTCATACCCATTCATAACATCAAACATGTTGTCTATGAAGTCTGCTCTCCTTCTAGCCTGGCATTGCATGACAAGCTGCATAGTGTTTCAGTTAAAGCTACAGTCTGGGATTTGGGAAGCTGTTCAATGTTCAGCTATAGTTCCTTGAAACATTGTCTTAGTCCTAGTAAATCTGAGCTAATTTGAGGAACAACCGATTTAAACGGGGCAAAAATTATATGGATTTTTTGCATTATTTGCATTTAGTGTAATGTGGATGATACTGCAATCGGATGGCTGCACATTTTAAGAAATGATGTGTATTGCTTTAATCATAAATAATCAGTCATATTTGTGGTATATTTTCACAGTTGGCGTGATTTAAATGTATGTCTGGGTGGTCTGAGGTGGTTTTCTTACCGTGGATGCTACCCAGCAGTTGTAGTTATTGGATGATACTGCAATCGGATGGCTGCACATTTTAAGAAATTATGTGTTTATATATATATATATATATATATATATATATATATGTATATATATATGTATATATATATATATATACAGTTGTTGAACCATGAACAGCGCTACATTATACCTTAATCATTGAGCCTAAAGTGTTTGCTTGACTACTGTGTATTCAGGCCAGACTCACTAAATAATCTGCAAAAATATATCCCCCTGTATTGGACCCTCAAAGCATCACAAAGCAAAACCTGGGCAGCATTTCAAATGATGTACAGTAAGTGTTTTTGACAAGTTTTCATTCTATCTACACTGAACAAAAATATAAATGCAACAGGTAAAGTGTTGGTCCCATGTTTCATGAGCTGAAAAAAAGATCCCAGAAATGTCCCATACAGATGTCTCAAGTTTTGAGGGAGTGTGCAATTGGCATGCTGACTGCAAGAATGTACACCAGTGCTGTTGCCAGAGAAGTTAATGTTAATTTCTCTACCATAAGCTGCCTCCGAAGTCATTTTAGAGAATTTGACAGTATGTCCAACAGGCCTCATAACCGCAGACCACATGTAACCACGCCAGCCCAGGACCTCCACATCCGGCTTCTTCACCTGCAGGATCGTCTGAGACCAGCCACCAGGACAGCTGATGAAACTGTGCGTTTGCACAAACAAATAATTTCTGCACAAACTGTCAGAAACCATCTCAGGGAAAATCATTTGCATGCTCGTCGTCCTCACAAGGGTCTTGACCTGACTGTAGTTCGGCGTCGTAACTGACTTTAGCGGGCAAATGCACACCTTCGATGGCCAATGGCACGCTGGAGAAGTGTGCTCTTCACGGATGAATCTCAGTTTCAACTGAACTGGGCAGATGGCAGACAGCGAGATGGCAGACAGCGTGTATGGCGTCATGTCGGCGAGCGGTTTGCTGATGTCAACGTTGTGAACAGAGTGGCTGCAAACTCACCAGACATGTCACCCATTGAGCATGTTTGGGATGATCTGGGCCGACGTGTACGACAGCGTGTTCCAGTTCCCGCCAATATCCAGCAACTTCGCACAGCCATTGAAGAGGAGTGGGACAACATTCCACAGGCCACAATCAACTCTATGCGAAGGAGATGTGACGCACTGCATGAGGCAAATGGTGGTCACACCAGATACTGACTGCTTTTCTGATCCACACCCGTACCTTTCTTTTGCATATCTGCATGTCTGTATTCCCAGTCATGTGAAATCCATAGATTAGGCCCTAATTAATTCATTTCAATTTACTGATTTCCTTATATGAACTGTAACTCAGTAAAATCTTTGAAAAAGTTGCATTTATATTTTTGTTCAGTGTCGCTGACTCCTATTAGTAAAAGATATTATTCGTATATGATTCTTTTTTTGAATAATCAAAAAGATAATTAACTGTAATGTCCTTCATAAGCCCTGTTTCTCAGCCTTGTATCTTAGCACCATCTAGTGTGGTACAACATTACTGTCCAATCCATTTTAATATTGGAGTTAAAGCTTTGATCTCCAGCTTCAGAACAATAGAATAGCCACTTTATTAGCTTCAGTCATTTTCATCCAAATGTTTAAAAAACATTTGAGTTCATAAGAAGTACAAACATCCCTGGGGTTCAGGCTCTGTCAATCCAACAGATGAAACACACCACAATTCCAAAATAACAGAAATTAAATCAAAGAGAAATGTATTCCAAAGGGAAGGAGTGGTTGTTGCACTTAACCATCGGTACTTTTCAAGATCCTGTACCATAACGGATATACTTTAGCTGTCCTTTGTGATTGGTTATTGTTCCTCATCCCTCGATCGCCACAATTGAAAACTTATATACGTACTTCCTGCATAGCAGAGCGTGACCAGGAAGGCAAAGAACTGAAAAACAGACAGATGAAAACATTGAAATTCAGTACAATAGTAGGTGTGAGTAGAGCAGGCTTAAATGGACCAAATAGATATCATTGGGATGGTACACAGTGGCATCATACCTCTCTTATCTGACTTGTAGGCATATATTTGCATTTTAATATTGTATATTTTAATATCGCTTTGATCATAAATACTCAGTCATATTTGTGGTATATTTTCACAGTTGGCTTGATTTAAATGTATGTCTGGGTGGTCTGAGGTGGTTTTCTTACCGTGGATGCTACCCAGCAGTTGTAGTTATGGCGCCCTTTAACAGCATGGCTGATTGAGGCTGCATCCACTGCTGCTGCCACCACATACATCACTGTAGCACTACTGTTGAAGAACAGGCCCTGTAGAAACACCACATACATCCTTGTAGCACTACTGTTGATAACAGGCCCGTAGAACACACATACATCACTGTAGCACTACTGTTGAAGAACAGGCCCTGTAGACAACACCACATACATCACTGTAGCACTACTTTGAAGAACAGCCCTGTAAACCACACCACATACATCACTAGCACTACGTTGAAGAACGGCCCTGTGAACACCACTACAATCCTATAGCACTACTGTTGAAGACATGCCCTTTAGAACACCACATACATCCCTGTAGCACTACTGTTGAAGAACAGCCTGTATAACACCACATACATCACTGTAGCAACTACTGTTGAAGAACTGGCCCTGTAGAACACCACATACATCACTGTAGCACTAAACTGTTGAAGAACAGGCCCTGTAGACCCCACATACATCACTGTAGCACTCCTGTTGAGAACCGGCCCTGTGTAAACCCCACATACCTCACTGTAGCACTACTGTTGAAGAACAGGTCTCTGTGGACATCACCACATACATCACTGTAGCACTACTGTTGAAGAACAGGTCCTGTAGAACACCACATACATCACTGTAGCACTACTGTTGAAGAACAGGTCCTGTAGAACACCACATACATCACTGTAGCACTACTGTTGAAGAACAGGCCCCTGTTAGAACAACCACAGACATCACTGTAGCACTACTGTTGAAGAACAGGTCCTGTGGAATGACAACAACAGGATTCCTGGCTGGCTGATTCAGATACTGTAGGCTAGTACACATTATAGAATGGCTTCATTTGATCACATTCATAAAGACATGGTCAGGAGCACACAAAAATCCTCTCTTCCCCAAAACCATCCAGGCAGTTCACTCCATTACTTTTGAGTTACGTAAATATTCCACAATTATTCAATCACTAGATATATAATAAACAACCCCAATCACTCAAGTTTCAAGTTGGTCAGATAATGTGCTGTTGTATTATGTGTCGTAGTATGTGTCGTACCACAGCTGTCCAGGGGACCTGAGGGATCCTGTTGTAAGCCATGGTCAGGTAGATGATGAGGAAGATGACTGTCAGGACCCAGTACAAGATGGCCACAAACATGACCCACCCAAAGGCAGACACACGGAAGTAGTTTGTCCCCGCTATCAGCATCCATACCAGCAGACCAAACACCTGAGGGGACAGGGAAGCACATAGCCAGCATTCCAAATGGCACCCTATTCCCTTTATAGTGCACTACTTTTGAACAGGGCTCATATAGCTCTAGTGAAAAGTAGTGCACTATATAGGGAATAGGGTGCCATTTGGGATGTGCAACAATGTGCCACATTTGGGGGGTGCCACATTGTCAGTGATAGCTGTGCTCTGGTGGTGTCTACTTTATCGTGTATTTAAATGCATTTGCTGTGCTTATCTTGATGGCATACTGTAGAAAGAGATTACAATGAAAGGAAATAATATAGCCTAAGGCAAATCAAATAACAGTTTATTGGCATATGCACAGGATCCATTGAATTGTAGAGTGCTCTGTTTACCTGCAAGCTCTCATCTAAAACAGTACAACAGCTATATAAAACATAATTGCCAAGTGGTTTTTCATAGTTTGTATTTCTGGAACAGAAACTAACCCCACAGCTGACTGACACCTATCTGATCTGACAGCATTCTGAAAGAATGTCGTAACACATTGATTATGATAAATCTATAGATGCAGTTTGTTATAATGCGTGCTACTGTAAATAATGGGAAGTTTTGTCCTCTGTTGCACTCCAAACCTACCTTCCTGTTATTAAAATAAAATAATGTTTCATTGGTTGCTTCGTGTCACAGGAAAAAAGACTGTCTAGCCTACGTGGAAGAGGAGACTTTTGGTCACATTCTCCCCTGATGCTGGAAGGAAAAGGGACAATGAAACTGACCTTGTTTTTAAACAACTTCCCTTTCCAGAGAAAATAAAACACTGTACTGAGACCCATTGTCTGTCTACACAGAAAGTAGCCTATGTTACAGAAAGTAGTCTAAATTACAGAAAGTAGCCTATGTTACAGAAATTCACCTATATTACTAGCATATATTAGAAGAAGTAGCTTATTTTATAGGAAGTAGCCTATATTACTAGCATATATTAGAAGAAGTACTGTAGCTTATTTTACAGGAAGTAGCCTATATTACAGGAAGTAGCCTATTTTACAGGAAGAAGCCTATATTATAGAAAGTAGTCTATATTACAGGAAGTAGTCTATATTACAGGAAGTAGGTTGACATTATGTTCATTTTCTCCAGTTATAGTTCCTTGAACATTTTTAAATAATTGAACCTTCAGTTTAGTGCAGTGTTCAATACGATGTCACGTCACCGTCTGTGAAAAACTGTCATACAGGCCAAGCAGCCTATGCAAAATGTGTATAAAATGCATATAAAATATACAGGTTGAACAATTTGCAAATCTGTATAAAAGTACTGGGATTCAGCAAATGGCAAACTCTTCCCTTTATCAGAACTAATTGTGCCCCTATCATAAGGGTACAATTAGCCATGTGATACAAGGTATGAACAATACAAAATGTCTGATCATCATAATGTGTTTAATTTGTTTAATCAACAAAGCAGTACTGATTCCCTCCATTAATTCTGATGGCAGCTATTGTGTGAAAGATGGTGAAAGCCACTGACATACTGATTTCAATAAATTATTGTATCAAACGTGGACACCAATATGTTTGTGTCGCAGTTAGGATATCACCCTCTGCAACTGGATCCTGGACTTCCTGAGGGGCAGACAACAGGCTGTGAGGATTGGCAACAACACCTCCTCCACACTGACTCTTAACTCAGGGGCCCCCCAGGGGTGAGTCCTCAGTTCTCTGCTGTACTCCCTGTTCACCCACAACTGCGTGGCTTTGCACGACACCAACTCCCTCATCAACTTTGCTGACGACAACACGGTTGTAGGCCTGATTACCAACAACAACGAGTCAGCCTATAGGGAGGAGGTAAGTAAACTGGCATTGTGGTGTCATGACAACAACCTCTCCCTCAAAGTCAGCAAAACAAAGGAGTTGATTTTTAACTTCAGGAAGCAGAGGTGGGAACATGCCCCGATCCACATCAACCGGACTGCAGCAGAGAGAGTCACTAGTTTTAAGTTCCTCAGAATCCACATCACCGAGGACGTGTAATGAACCAACAACACCACCACTCTTGTCAAGAGGACACAACAGCATGCCGCCCCAGGTCCTCTCCAAATACTGGCCCTGCACCATCAAGAACGTCCTGACCGGTTGCATCACGGCCTGGTACGGGAATTGCTCTGTCTATGAACGCAAGTCCCTCCAGCGGGTAGTGAAGACAGCACCCACCCCGCCCGGCCATCTAGATGTATGAAAGTTAGTATATAAACTAATGATCCATCATGTATGGATTGTGGAGTGTGTAAACTTAAATGTTGTATTACCATATCATTTTTGTATGTTCTCTATAGTTATGTACTTGAAAATGTGTCAATTGACCAATTCAGCACATTTGGGCAGACTTCATACAAAATAGTCCAGTATTGCAATGCTTCACTGGATAAATCTGAAACTTTGCACACACACACTGCTGCCATCAAGTGGCTAAAAACTAAATTGCGCCTAAACTGCAATATTATATTGTGGCCTTTCTCTTGCATTTCAAAGATGATGGAACTGTTTGTATTATCTTTTACCAGATCGAATGTGTTATATTCTCCTACATTAATTTCACATTTCCACAAACTTCAAAGTGTTTCCTTTCAAATAGAATCAAGAATATGCATATCCTTGCTTCAGGTCCTGAACTACAGGCAGTTAGATTTGGGCCATCAGACTGCTGAACAATTGAACTGGACTGACCACCTGCTCTGATTCTCCTCACCTTAGCACACACACACTCTCTCATGTACACACCCACACAGACACACACACACACACACACACACACACACACACACACACACACACACACACACACACACACACACACACACACACACACACACACACACACACATTTACATTCATGCTACACACACATCACAACTGCTGCTACCAGACTCTTATAATACTGCTCAGTTTATACACTGACCCCCATCCCCCCCTTCTCCAATAAACGTGTAAATATTGGACAATAAAATGTGCCTTCTTGAATAATACTTATGCTACTAAAAAATGTTTATTCAGTTCTACTGAGCCATTTAATTTATGTTCGTATTCTTATATTTTATTATGTGTCATTGTTATTGCATTGTCGAGAAGGAACCTGCAAGTAAGCATTTATTTGGACGACGTATACCATGCGTATCCCGTAGCCTAGAGCTTGAAACTTGAAACTTGACTACTTACTATTTCTGCGAAAATGAGGAGCCCCGAAGCAGTACGAAAAAAGTGCCTGTCGTAAGCCAGAGTAGAGGTGTAAAAGTTTTCCGCGATGCTGCTGGTAGACGTTATCACAGTGGGCGTCGCTGCGTCTTCCATCTTCAATATCGATCTACCGCTTTTGGATCCTGCCCCTCTGAATTAAGGAAGGTTGGAAAGAGGGCCATGACGTGTCTTTCCTGAGTAGGCGACAAGACTTCTGCGGAACTCTGTACATTTGTTGTGAAACAATTCGTTTTTGTTTATTTTAGATAATAATATCTGTGACCTGTATGAACGTTATTCTGTCGTCGTATAACAAAGCCTACTGTATGTTCAACAGAATTTGGTCAGTTAGCCCAATACCATTCCCAAAATGTCACTATTGAGAGTGGTTGTATAAAGAGGAACTTATTTATGATGATAGGCAAATCGGTGTGCCAGAAACTATTGCCTTTTCATGTGTGGTGAAAAAACGTTGCTGATAATGCCGTGATGATAAGAAGTCCGCTGACACTGTACTTTGTTTATAAAGGTTTATTATAACAATGTTATGTGGGCAGCTTGTCTCTCCCTTTTCTGTTTCCCTTCCTCCTTGTTTTGTCCCCTCTTTGTCTGTCGTATCTGTATGTGGGTTTGTCCCCATTATGTTGGTGCGTCTGCCGGTGTGTGTCTGGAGTGGATCGGGGGGCGTGCTCAGGATCTGCCTCTCCTGTGCAGCTGGGGGTTGTTTCCAGTGATTCCTGCCTACGCAGCTGCATCCTATTCTCTCATCAACCTGCACTACTAATTCCTGGGCATGGCTCTCCACCGGCGCCAGATCGTTGTTCTTACTAGAGCGGTAACTTAGCTCACCAGTAGAGTTTAATTGTCTTTGTCTTCAGCCTGGCTCTTTACTCTCTTTAACCTGTCATTTGTTTTGTCTTCAGTTCAGACATACCTCCCTGCCTGCCTGCCTGCCTGCCTGCCTGCCTGCCTCAGCCTCTCCTTCCTCCGGAGCCGACTAGCCCACTCTGTTCCTTTTCTTCAGTTGTTTTTTGGACTAAGACAAATTTAATTTTTATTAAAAGCATTTTTGTTTCTTCCACTTCCTTAATCGTGTTTTGTTTCTCTGAGTGCTGGGTTTAACCATAGCCTAACAGAACGATCTGGCCATGGACCCAACAGAGAAACAGCCCGGGGCAAACGAAGACAGCTTCCAACAAGCTATCCAGGCTCAAGGAACGTTGCTAGGACAGCATGACCAATTGATTCGGACTCTTTTGGAAAATAATCATCAACTGCTGAACCAGGTGACTCAGTTAACTACACAAGTCTCTAAATTGTCTGTTATCAGTTCTCCATCTCTCTCTGACCCCCAGTTTGATGCACCCCAAGTTGTTTCCACGGACATTATGCAGGCTTCGTTCCATCGGGAAACCCCTGTCACGTCGCCTGAACCGTTCAATGGAGAAATGGACAAGTGCCGGGGATTTTTGCTTCAGTGTGACTTGATTTTTCGGCAGAGACCACTGTCGTTTTCTACTGATTCCTCTAAGGTACATTATGTTCTGGGGATGTTAAGAGGGAGAGCTCTGGTTTGGGCTGAGGCTGTGTGCTCAAATCAAACTTTGACTGGATTGACTTTTGCAGATTTTTCTGCTAAATTGAAGACTGTTTTTGACCATCCTGACCATGTGGGTAATTCCTCCAAGAGACTTTTTAATTTGAGGCAGGGTTCTAACAGTGTGGCTGAGTACTCTATTGAGTTCTGGACTTTGGCAGCGGACTCCAAGTGGAACAATGTGGCACTTCAAGGAGCATTTCTAAACGGTTTGAATGAAGCCATTAAGGATGAACTGGCTGCTCGTGACGAGCCACATGATTTACATTCTTTCGTTTCCCTGTCCATTAAGCTAGACAACCGGTTGCGGGAGAGGCGTCGGGAGAGAGGCGGTTGGCCACATCTAGGAGGACGAGTTCCCCAGCCTTCAACCACTCGAGTCTCGCCTCCCCGGAGCCGGCAGCTTCTTGTTCCTGATCCCATCCCGAGCACAGAGGAGGAACCAATGCAAGTGGGTCGAGCTCGACTACCTCCAGCAGAGCGGCAACGGCGCCTCCAGGCGGGTGAGTGCCTGTACTGTGGAGACGCCACACACATTCTGGCTACATGCCCTAAGCGACCAAAAGACAAGGCTCGCTCGTAACGGTGGGTCTACTTGCGAGCCCAGAGTTAGATCTTGAACCCATCATTCCCCGATTACAAGTACCTGTAACCTTACGTTTCCAGAGTCATTCCCTGCCACTCTCAGCTCTCATAGACTCAGGTGCAGAAGACAACTTTATTAGCCACCAGTTCGTTACACAAGCTCGTATCCCCGTGGAGCCACTACCTACCCCCATTCGAGTCACAGCCCTTGATGGGCGCCTCCTCGCGGAGATAACTCATCAAACCACCCCCGTTTCCCTAGTGATTTCTGGCAATCATTGTGAATGTATTCAGTTAAGAGTTATGTCTGGCTCAGCTACCCCCCTTATCCTTGGTTTCCCCTGGTTGGCTCTTCACAACCCACAAATGGATTGGACACGTCACACCATTCTCAGTTGGAGCACTAACTGCCATTCGGAGTGCCTTAGGTCAGCGGTTCCCCCCACTAAGTGTAACCCAACTCATCCCTCAGCTCCTCCCGATCTGTCGTCTGTCCCCAAGGAATACCATGACTTAGCGGAGGTTTTCAGTAAGGACAAGGCTCTGTCTCTACCACCACATAGGCCTTATGATTGCCCTATTGAACTGCTTCCTGGTGCTCCCTTGCCCTCTAGTCGCTTATACAATCTGTCCCGACCGGAAAGAGAGGCAATGGAGCAGTATATTGGTGATTCTCTGGCCTCGGGCATAATCCGTCCCTCGTCGTCTCCTTTGGGTGCAGGTTTCTTTTTCGTTGAAAAGAAAGACAAGTCGTTACGCCCCTGTATCGATTTCAGGGGTTTAAACAACATAACTGTTAAAAACAAGTATCCCCTTCCACTCATCAACTCAGCTTTTGAACCTCTGCATGGCGCCACGGTTTTCTCCAAGCTCGACCTCAGGAACGCTTATCACCTTGTCAGAATCCGAAAGGGAGATGAGTGGAAAACCGCTTTCAACACTCCACTGGGGCATTTTGAGTATTTGGTCATGCCCTTTGGGCTCTCTAATGCCCCTGCTGTATTCCAAGCCATGGTGAACGATGTTCTTAGGGATTTTTTGAACCGATTTGTCTTTGTATACCTGGATGATATTCTTATTTTTTCCAAGTCACCCGAGGAGCATGAGTCACACGTCCGTCAAGTCCTTCAACGGCTCTTGGAGAATAAGCTGTACGTCAAAGCAGAAAAGTGTGAGTTCCACAAACGGTCTACATCGTTCCTTGGTTTCATCATTGAGAGCGGGCAGGTGAAGGCGGACCCCGAGAAGATCCGGGCAGTGACGGAATGGCCCACACCCACCACCCGTAAGCAACTTCAACGATTTTTGGGCTTTGCTAACTTCTACCGTAGATTCATTAAGGGTTTTAGTAAAGTGGTGGCACCCCTTACTAGACTCACATCCCCAAAAGTCCCTTTTCTGTGGTCCCCTGAGGCGGAGCAGGCGGTAGGGGTTTTGAAGGAACTGTTTTCCACCTCCCCCGTGTTGATACACCCCAATACCTCTCTGCAGTTTATTGTGGAGGTGGACACGTCTGACTCAGGTGTGGGAGCAGTCCTCTCCCAGCGCTCCCCCACTGACCAAATGCTTCACCCCTGTGCTTTTTTCTCCAAGAAATTGTCACCCACAGAACGGAATTACGACGTTGGAAACCGGGAACTGCTGGCGGTCAAGCTTGCACTGGAAGAATGGCGGCACTGGCTGGATGGAGCTGAACTGCCGTTTGTGGTCTGGACAGACCACAAAAACTTGGCTTACATCCAAGCCACTAAGAGACTCAACTCACGCCAAGCCAGATGGGCCCTGTTTTTTAGTAGGTTTAACTTTATTCTTACATACAGACCGGGGTCAAGAAATGTTAAACCAGATGCTTTGTCCCGCCAGTTTTCTGACCCTTCGGAGACCAGCGAGCCTGAGGCAGTCCTACCTTCCTCATGCGTCGTGGCGGTAGTACAGTGGGAGATCGAGTCTCTTGTGAAGACTGCACTTGCCACGGACCCGGGACCGGGTGATGGACCTCCCAACCTACTCTTTGTTCCCGAGACGGTCCGGTCTCAGGTGTTGCAGTGGATTCACACCTCCCGTTTTGCTGGTCACCCTGGGATGAGACGCACGTTGACGCTGCTTAAGAGACATTTTTGGTGGCCTTCAATGGAAACTGACGTTCGGGCTTTTGTGGCAGCCTGTTCAACCTGTGCTCGGGGCAAAGCCTCCCATCGGGCCCCTTCGGGGCTGCTGCTACCCCTCCCAGTTCCCAGCCGTCCCTGGTCCCACATAGCCATGGATTTTGTCACCGGCCTACCCAAGTCTGAAGGTAATGATACTATACTTACCATTGTGGACAGATTCTCTAAATCTGTTCACTATGTAGCATTACCAAAATTACCGTCTGCCAGTGAGACAGCGGACCTCCTAGTCCAACATGTATTCCGTCCCCATGGAATACCTGTGGACATCGTATCTGATAGAGGCCCACAGTTTACTTCCCGTGTTTGGAAGGTTTTCTGTTCTGCTTTGGGTGCTTCCGTTAGTCTGTCCTCAGGGTTTCATCCCCAGACCAACGGTCAAACAGAAAGAGCCAATCAAGACCTCGAAGCAATCCTTCGTTGTGTGGCTGCTCAACATCCATCATCCTGGGCCAAACATCTGCCTTGGATAGAGTACGCCCACAACTCCCTCACCACCTCTGCCACCGGCCTTTCACCCTTCGAAGTAACCATGGGTTATCAACCCCCTCTGTTTCCTGCTCAGGAGAAGGAATTGGCTGTTCCTTCGGTTCAGGAGAACCTCCGCCGCTGCCAGAGAGTGTGGAGCGACGCTCGGGAAGCGTTGCTTCGGACCACCGACAGGAACAAGACGACAGCGGATAGGAGCAGGACTCCCGCACCTGTGTTTCATCCTGGTCAAGAAGTTTGGCTGTCATCAAGGAACGTACCTCTTCGTACCAAATCACGCAAGCTGTCTCCTCGGTACCTGGGTCCGTTTGTGGT